ATTTATTATTAATTGAAAATAATGCCCCAATACGATATATGAGTAAAAATTTAAAATTGAAAAACAATTGATTCTATCGTAGAGATAATATAAAGTGACAGTAAAGATGTTAATTTTCTACATATTAGATTATGTTGTAGGTATACTCATTTTAATTAAAATGTTTGAAATTTATAACATTTGTTTAAATTAATACCTTATAATTTAATACTTCATTATGGTTGTTCTATTTTTGGTAAGATTTGATCGTTCACTAAAAATTTAATAAAAGTGCGACTACATTGTCGCATATGTCATTTTCATTGGCTATTTATGTAGTTTGAAAATCACTTATTGCATTTAAATATATATATATATATATATATATATATATATATATATATATTACTATATTATTCGTATTAAATATTACACCCTATATATATATATATATATATATATATATATATATATATATATATATATATAGGGTGTAATATTTAATACGAATCCCTAAATTAATTTTTCCAAAGCCAGTCCTGGAATTTTTTAGTTTAGCTAATACCAGTCGAATGCTTGATAGTAGTGTACTGTATCATGCAAAAATTAAAATAATCAATTAAGCTGTATAAACACAATATGACAATTTTACAAGCTGTAAAATGAAATAAATGGTCAATTACATGAATCACCCTGTTAATTAATTAAGAAGAGGAGTTGACATTTTTTAGTGGCCACATGATATGCTCCCTGAGGGACTCTACATATGGTAGAAGTATATAAAGTTCCTCATGACTCACCCTCATGACTCACGCTCACCATATATATATATATATATATATATATATATATATATATATATATATTATATATATATATATATATATATATAGTGAGCGCACCGAGATAGAGCAAAAAATCGTGAAAGGAAAAAGGGTGATAGGATGCCTAAACCCGATGCTATGGTCAAAAGAACTATCAAATCAAAGAAAGCATCTCCTCTTTAACTCCATCTTTAAAAGTATAGTGCTCTACGGATGCGAAACATGGCAACTTACTAAATCCCTTTAACGACGCCTACTTGCATTGGAAATGGACTTTTGGAGAAGATCAGCTAGAAATCAAGGCTTGATAGGAAACAAAATGACCATATCAAAAATATAATGGGAGTCAAGTCAACCATCATTGACGAAATTCAAAGGAGACAACTGATCTGGTATCGTCATGTCAAAAGAATGGACGATGACAGGCTGCCAAACCAAATTTTAAAATGGAAGCCAAGGGAAAGAAGGAAGAGAGGAAGGCCAAAACAATCCAGGCTGGGCGGCATTCAGAAGGCAATGTCGGAAAGAAACCTTCACCCTGGCAAATGGAATGACCTACTTAGCTGGAAACTGGGAACCGGAAGGCGGGGAACGCTATAAAAAAAACCGGGATAATAATAAAAATGGTGACTGTTGTTGTAGTCCCCCACCTATATTGACGGATGCTGATGTGTGTGGATGACTTGAGATGGCCAGGATTTAGCTGGTGGTTTGTAGGTGTTAGTAATAGTGATGGTTCCAATTTTTTACAACAACATTATGAATTTGATCCTTAGCACACGTGGAAACAAGGACGGCGTTTTCTATGTTTTGTTTAACGTACGTTGACGTGCCGTATGATCGATGATACGTGTCACCCAGTAGTTCGAAGCCAGGTATTTTTCCTCTTTTTCGCAGTTGCTCTTCCGTTTCACAATGTGTTTCCTGTAAAGTGACCAGATCGATGTCGTTATCTTTTAGAAATTTTAATAAGTAGTGGCTCTTTGAATAGTTTATGCTTTCTACATAATTCGGATCATAGGTAGGAGTTTTTAAGTCGTTGGGTCCTGAGAATGGCCATTTATCATCATCATCACTGACTCGACAACCCTTTTTGGGTCTTCGCCTGTTCAAGGATTCTTCTCCATTCTGACCTGTTTCGTGCTTTTTTTTCCAGTTTTTAATTTTTAATGTTGTTATATCATTTTCTATTTGTTCTACGTATCTCAGCTTCGGTCTTCCTCTTGTTCTTTTTCCTACTGGCACTTGTTTGAATATTTTGTTTGGTATTTCGCCTTCTTCCATTCTTTCCACATGTCCAATCCAACGTAGCCTTCCTATTTTAATGAATGTTATGATATCCGGATCCTGGTATATGTTGTATAGTTCAAAGTTATACCTTCTCCGCCAAATCCCGTTTTCTTTTGTGCCCTTATATATGTGTCGCAAGATTTTTCTTTCACAGGTGGCTAATAACGTTTCCTCCCTTTTAGAGAGTGTCCAGGTTTCTGAACCGTATGTGAGTACCGGTCTTATTAAGGCTTTGTATATTTGGCATTTTGTTTTTCTGGAGACGTTATCTGATCTTAGTTGCCTAATTAAGCCATGGTAACATTTATTGGCAATAAATATTCTCCTCTTCACTTCCTCTGCAACGTTGTTATCAGACGTAACTAGGGATCCTAAGTATGTAAAGTTTTTTACCGCCTCAATGTTGTATTCTCCTATTGTTAAATTTGGCAGCTGCCTTATTTGTGCGTTTTTATTTGCAGGCATATATTTTGTTTTTGTCTGATTGATTTTAAGACTACTATTTTTTGCAGCTCGTTCTATTTGAGTGAATGCCTCTATCATTTCTCTTCTTGATCTTGCTATTATGTCAACATCATCTGCAAATGCTAGTACTTGCACGCTTTTATTAATTATTGTTCCTCGGGTATTAACTGTTGTGTCTCTTCATTATTTTTTCAAGTATGATGTTGAATAATATGCATGATAGAGCGTCTCCCTGGCGTAGTCCCTTCTTCACATCTATTGTTTCCGTTAATTCGTTTTGTATCCGGATTTTACTTTCTACTTTTAGTGTTTCTTTTATCAATTCTATTAGCTGTGTTGGTATATTAAATTCTTTCATTGCTTTTGTTAGGAATTCTCGGTTTATATTGTCATATGCGCTTTCGAAGTCTATGAAGAGATGATGTGTGTCGATGTTATATTCACTTGTTTTTTCAAGGATCTGTCGCAGAACAAATATCTGGTCTATTGTTGACTTCTGTCTACAGAAGCCACATTGGTATTTGCCAACTATTTTTTCAGCGTATGGTCTAAGTCTTTCATACATTACGTTGGACATTATTTTGTATGCCGCATTCAACAGCGTGATTCCACGGTAGTTTTCACATTCTAACTGGTTTCCTTTTTTATGTAGTGGTACAATAATGTCGCTATTCCACTCCTTTGGTAGCTGTTTATTCAACTATATCTTTCTTATCAGCTCATGTATGGCTTTAAGTAATGCGTCTCCTCCTTCTTTCAGTAGCTTCGATGATATTTGATCCGATCCTGGTGATTTATTGTTCTTTAATTTGTCCATTGCTGTTCTAATCTCTGCTATTGTTGGTGGACTCTTTTCTCTGTTGTCTGCTTGGTCTAACGGTATATCAGGGTTCATCTCCGTCCTATTCACCCCAAGCTTTTCCTTAAAATGTTCTGTCCATCTTCTAAGTATCTCTTACTGTTCTGTCAATATATATTCTCATATAGTCAATATATATTGTTCTGTCTATATATATTGACAGAAGGGCCATTTATATTATTAACTTTGATGGTACACAAGGCAAATATCGAACACAGTAGTTAATCAAATCTTGCCCAAGTACTTTCGATCACAAGATCATCCTCAGGGGCATTTCGTCAGTTGTGGCCTATCCAGCAGTAATAGAATGTTATAAATGTAAATTGGGACATAACAAATACACTAAACAAAGACAAACAAACACTTTAAAATTTAAGAAATGGAGAAGCTACATTTTATATAGAAGCCGGAGACAGAATGACGAAATGCCCCTGAGGATGATCTTGTGATCGAAAGTACTTGGGCAAGATTTGATTCACTACTGTGTTCGATATTTGCCTTGTGTACCATCAAAGTTCATTTATTCGAACATTCAACCTTATATTGATTTATATTATTGTTAATTTGGCTTCTGATAACGTTTAACGGCATTTTTTGTAATGTGTCTCTGGTCAGGAGATCCTGAGATTATCTAACCGCCAGTATTTGCTAGTTCATTAAATGTTATTTAGGGTACACGTGTAGTATTCTACTATGTACACGAACTGGCTCTACACCCTCATCTTTCTAAAAAAATGCTTATTTAATGCATATTTCCTAAAATAAATGCATATTTAATGCATATTTTTCTTTACTTTACTTTATTTTCTTTTGCGAAGAATCGCTCATCCTTTCTTTTAATCTCTGTTAAATAAATTTTCCATTTTTATTCATTTTAATGTTTTTTCTTTTTGTGTTACTAAAAATTTAATTTATCATTTTTTGATTTCAGGATTCTTGACAATGTTATTTATTAGTTCTCTGAATTACTCTATAAGCTTTCTTTTTCTTAGATAAATCAGTTTTAAATGTTCTTATTTTGTAGTGAATGATAAACATATATTTCTTGTAAGTTCGTAGAAGTAGATTTCGTCTGCCTATTAATGTATCTAGTATACTTTCGTTGTGGCCACCCTGTAGATAAAGAAAACCTAGAGCCTTTCGACAGGACGTTCGTTCTGTCTTTATTTCAATTCACCATCCTCACTACCTTTCTTGGATCCTATATAAACTATTCAACCATTACAGTGTCACGTAATAGTGACAAATCCCCGTAGTGTGGCGGACCTTTGAAAGACACCGAAGCACGAAAAGTCATCATGAAGGCAGTGTTAGTTCTACCAGTTTTCTTCTGTTTAGTGAACAGTGCGCCGAAATTAAGGGTGGGTGAATTGTGGTTTTATTTCTCTCGTAATCTATTTATAAAAAAACGGTTAGTAGATTTGAAATAATAGTTTGTGTAACAGTGCGTGATATAGAATTTTTATATGAGTGTTGATTTCAACACACGTCTATAAAAGTCTTCATGCATGTGTTGTACATTATATTATTTCTACGACTTTATATTCGGTAGATGTTTCGAGCAAATGGCTAGGTAATCTTATATGTTAATATACGAGAATCCAAAGGTTTGTTTAATAGTATTTGTTAGACTGTTTATTAACAGTAGGTACTACTACAATTTGATAAGTTACTAAATCTAACCTAGCTGGAATTTTTTTAGAGTATGATAATATATAAAATATATATATCTTTTTATAACCAAATACAATTCGATTTAGAATTGTAGCGGATTCATCATGGCCTTTTGCAACATAAAAACTTTCTGTTTAGTGAAACTGTTAGTGATTCCATAGTAAATTATGAGGTAAAAACCAAGAAAAAAACCTCATAATACTATCCCGACATTGTAAGTATTTGTTCGTGAATTTAGTTTACCTTCAACAAACATCAAAATTCTGATTTTATATGTTACGTTATTTAAAAAACATAAATGATGTATCCTCTATATGTTACTGACTTACTAATACTGGTATTTTCTTATTAATAACTTCCTCTTTCAATATTGGTAACCAGATCCTACTACATTCTGTCGAGGAATTTGCGACACAATTGGCCTCATTTAGCATAATTAGAGCCGCTTCTTTGATTTTTCTTTTTTTACCACCCGTTTCTTTTAGGACTACATTTGAATTATTCCATTGAACCCTATGTTCATTATCCCATGCGTGTTTACAGATTTGAGATCTATCAAATTCATTATTTTTAATATAAGATTGATGTTCACTTATTCTAACATTTAATGGCCTTGATGATTCACCTAAATAAAACTGATCGCATTCACAAGGTATTTCATAAATGCAATTCTTTGTCCTTTCTTGTTCATTGTTAGGTTTGGTTTTGGACAAAATAGATCTCAACGTGTTTGTTGTTTTGAATGTTGTTGAAATGTTGAATTTATTTCCTATCCTTTTAAGTTTTTCTGATAGTCCTTTTATGTACGGTGTTGTTATTTTCCTCATATTATTCCTTGTGTATGCTATAGGATCTCATTCCAAGTTGTTGTGTTCTATTCGATCGATTGTTGAAAATTCCTTATTTATAAACGATAAAGGCTAATCATTTTTTAATAAAACAGATGTTAACAAATGTTTCTCCTCCAAGAACGAATTTTCGTTAGAACAAGTAATTTTGGCTCTATCGTATAAGGATTTAATTATTCCCTTTTTTACATTAATATTGTGATTTGATTTAAAATTTAAATATTTATTGGTGTGTGTTGGTTTTCTATACACCTGAGTCTCATATACAGTATCGTTCTTAGAGATTAAAACATACAGGAAAGGTAGCGTGTTATTATATTCCTTTTCCATGGTAAATGCCAAATTAATTGTCTCTTCTTTATCGTTGATATCATTTAGGAATGTGTCCAATAACTCTGATCCATGAGGCCATATTGAGAATACATCATCTACATACCTCCACCATACTGTGGGTTTGAAATTTTGTTTAGAAATGATATTTGTTTCAAAATCTTTCATAAATATATCGGCTAAGAATGGAGATAAACTAGAGCCCATTGCTAGACCAAAATTTTGTTTATAGAATTCATTATTAAGTTGAAAATATGTATTATCAGTACATAATGTTAATAACTCCATTATAGCCGATATGTTTAGTCTTGTTCTAGTTGCCAATGAATCATCACTCTCTAATTTTGTCTTGACTATACTTAAAGTAACATATAAAATCAGAATTTTTGATGTTTGTTGAAGGTAAACTAAATTCACGAACAAATACTTACAATGTCGGGATAGTATTATGAGGTTTTTTTCCTGGTTTTTCCCTCATAATTTACTATGGAATCACTAACAGGAGAATTTTACTGTCATCATGTCATGTGTTTGTCTTTTTAAAGACGAATTACATGCTATGATTTTTTCTGACGGATATTCTCAAGTTAAAGTTGATTTCATGTAATCGAATGAACTATCTTATAAGTAAAGTCGTCCCAGGAGCGCAACTCAACAATATTGGCAATATCATTTTAAAGTCGTCTACTTTAAAATGCATAATGTATGTCTGAATTGTCAATATAAATGAGTCAGATAAAATTAAATTATTAGAAGAATTTTTTACTATGTAACAAAAAACAAAATTTGTTTAATTTACTGTTTGTATTTTGAGAACGATTTCTGAAGTGGGAAATTGAAACGTCAATAAACGTATTTTTATCTTTAATTGTGACTTATTCCCAGTTTAATAGTAATCAGTTTACAATGCCACAAGAAAATAGGTTCAGAACAATATTCTTTACGGATGTTTAAAATGATTATGGTCACCCTAACGTTAGAAGATATTTTAAACAGTTCTTGTGAGTTGCGAGCATCTCATTATCTTAGGTTCCTCAACCTAGATATTTTCTTTTTCTCCCTCTATTTTTTTTTAGATTATAAGACGAATTTTGTGTCCAAGATATTTAATTTTTCTTTCTCTGTGATTTCAACATATTTTTCTTTCTTCTAAACGTCTACATCTTCAATGAATTAAAACCGTTTATCATATATTGATTCAATGCTTATGATTAATTATTTGGTATAGGACATTAATGATAATGATGATAGTGTGTTTGGCATGGAAACTAGTCCTTTTGCCACAGATTTTTAAATGATTTATGGTATGTTTATCGATTAAAACTTGATTGTACCAAATTTATATTATATATTCGGATGCATATAAGTGATTATAAATGAGTTCGTATATAGATTTCTGATTCAGTGAGAGTAGGTGGGTTATGTTTACTGGAAGTTGCAAATTACTTTTAACCAGGTTTTCATAAAACGTAGATGAGAGTGCTTTATTTTTAATACTTCCAAACAGGATAGGATTAACTTCACACTGGGAGATATTATCGCATAAACACTTTCTTGATTCTATAATGTTTACTCTAGCCAGGTGAGCAGGAACAGCACCGTGACTAGTTTTTAATCTTGTGATAGTTGCTGCTGATTGTTTAGATATATTATAATGGAATATGTGTGGTAATTCTGTTATGGATGGTAACGTAGGATGAATCTTGTAATAATGATTATTTGAAGTATTCGCCAATATTTTCCATCTGTCTTGCCAGTTAAAATTTATTTTTTAAATATGTTCTTGTATACCTCATTTTTTTAATGTCACATATCAGCTCACATATCTAATGGTTTAACTCAGTATTGTTAAGTCCATTAAGAACTGACTTAGAGTCGGATATGATTACAGCATCTTGCAAATTTTCGTTCTCTAGCCAGTCCAGAGCTTTCCTAATAGCTACCGCTTCTGCAGTGTAAATACAGCAATGTGGAGGAAGCTTTATTTTTAAGTGATTTGTTTTTGGAAGGAATATACACTGCAGACCCTACTTTCCCATCGTTCAGTTTAGAGCCATCTGTATAACTTATCGTTTTAATAGTATATTTACTCAATATGGAGTTCAACAGCTTGTTATTTATTTGATGTGAATCTGAATATTTCGGAAATATAATATTTGATTTTTTGAAGATCGTATAAATTCTAATTTATAAAATGATATAATAAAATTTGTTAAAAGTGTAACCGGTAAATAATTGGTCTCTTTTTTATTCTACAATAATTGCTTACTAGATTTTGTAGATATTGTATACACATTTAGCCAATCGTGTATGTAGGACTCATGTAAAATCTAATTTTTGGCAAGTACTTTTTTAATTTTAATTTTTATTTTAATGCCAATGATCATAGTTGTCGAGGCATTAACCCAATAAAAAAAAATTATTTTGGGAATAATTTAAAGAATATTAAACAGTTTACCAAAGAAAATTTCGGTCACATAGCCAAGCAATAGGGATGGGAAAAACCTACCGGTTTTAACCGTAAATTGTTAACAGTAAATGGCATGCATATTGAAGAATTCACCTCTTATAAGTCCTTAGGACATAAAATACGCATAGGAAGAGATAATCAAACGTGCGAACTAAGCCGCCGCATAGGACTCACTTGGGTGGCATTCGGCAAGCTGAGCTATGTTCTTAAATCAGAACTGCCTATGTGTCTTAAAAGAAAAGTCTTTAATCAGTGCGTGTTGCCAGTACTTGCATATGGTGCAGAGACATTAACACAAACCAAGAAAGTAAGAAATAAATTTTGTGTTACCCAAAGAGCCATGGAACGATCGATATTAGGCATTTCTCGTAGGGATCGGGTTACGAACAAGGAAATAAGACGGAGAACAGGAGTGACAGTTGCCATAGAAAGAATTATGACCCTTAAGTGGAACTAGGCGGGGCACATAGCTAGAATGTCGGATAACAGATAGACACAGCACATAATACAGTGGAGACCGAGACAAGAAGCACATCGAAGTAGAGGTCGTCCACCAATAAGATGGTCTGATGACATAAAACGGATCGACAAAAATTGGATGCAAACAGCACAAAACAGAAATACATGGAAAAGACTGAGGGAGACCTATATCCAGCAGTGGATAAATCCGGGTTAAATGATGATGATGATTTCATTTAGTAACTTAAATCTAAAAATTCTTTCCTTAAAACCTACAAGTTCCATAAAATGGCAAAGGCCTTTCTATCTGATAAACCGTATTATTCAGTGGAAGAGTTTCTTAACAAATAACTAAGAAACTACATTACGTTTATGTGCAAGTAACTAAAATATTTTTATATTTGGGTATCACATACAGTAACTTATATTTATTATTTCGTAAGGTTTTATTATGCAATTTGCAATTTATTTAAATTTCAGTAAATTTGAAATTGTTATTGTTATTTTTTTGACCTTTTGTAAGTTTTTTCCAAAAAATTGTACAATTTTCAGTGATAATAAAGCATATTTCTATTCTATTCTATTCTATATCTTGTCTTGTTATTTTTTTATTTCTACATTTGTTTTCCATGCCTTGTTTTTCTTCTAACTTATATTTAATTATCATTGACATCCTTATTTCACCATATTGTAATTTTTATATTTCTTTATTTATATTGATAACGTCATATTATATCTGCACTGCGTTTTCTGTTAGAATTCTTTTAAATCCTTTTCATTTCTCTTTCATTCTCTTTCGCATTGTTTTGTTCTGTCGATTTTTTTA